CACATGAACACAGGAGGAAGTTAGTTTTCTATCACAAGATTACCACATTATTACTCCCCCCCACAAAGTCTTTCAATCAAATAACTATGCTATTTCTGTGTTTCTGAGATGAGTGAAGGAACGATTGCTGGGGGGGCATATAAAGATAGATTTAGGCTGTTCTTTGTCTATCTTGACTGTTGCATTCCATTCAGTTAACAGACTTACTCATTCTTTTTTCCCCACATCATCTACACATTCTATCTATCTCATGACCTCCAAGTGAGTGTGTGTGTGTGTGATAGGGTGTCTGGGCTCTTTTGTACAGAGGAAGTGTATACAGTACTGTCCAAGTACTGTCTTGGACAGGATTTCACCATTCATTTATTTTATTCCCACTCAGGACAGCAAATAAACATATCAGCAAATAAATGTTACATATGTTCTTGATTTGTGGATTAATCAAACAAACAACTTTTATTTTAGATTTTGAAGTGAACTAGTATTTTTTGTACACTGAGGCCATTGACATGTCAAATTTATATTTTAAGATTAAGAAAAAAAAAAAGGATTAAATTATATACTTTTCAATGATTGTTTCCAACCATGCGCCCCGGATCCCCAAGGACCCCCCCCCTCCATTTCGTACCTTGTGTATTTGTGTACCTAATAAAGTGAATGTATATCATGAATATGTTAAGATATGCTAGCTTTCAACCCAGTTTGAACTTCCTTAATTATAAGAGGAGATAAGAGGAAGGAATTAAAAAAGGAAACTGAAAATATGAATCCGCTTCTATGGAGACTTTGGTTCTGAGAAACCTCAGCGGCATGTGTCGTTTTAAAGGAGTGGCCTGGGTGGCCAGGGCTTTCCTTGAAATCTAAATAGCCACCCCAGATGCCACACACCTCACTGTGGGGTGAGTGTTTGCACCTTCAAAGGCAGAACAACTCTCCCCACAAAAACCACCCGCTTCCCCTCCTGAAATGGAAAGAGCTGTACCTTCTTGTGGCCAGAGGGGGCTGAGAACTAAATATTCGCATTGTAGAGGCATCTGGGTCAAACAAGATACTGAGTCCAGTTTAACTGTGTCAATAGAGACAGTCTTTAAAATCGCAATAACATTTGCCAAATACAGTAAACTGCATCATTTATTGTTGGCTGTCTATTTATAGAGCCTGCCTATTTCATAACTTAATACTTAAAACATTTAAAAAGTGTCAGTGAAAGTTACTTTGGTGTATGCAGTTGCGGTCTTGGAGATCTGCCTTCCCGTGGAGTCTGCCTCACTTGCTCCAGCTGACTAACTTCATCAGAAGTGTTTGATTGGCTGGATAAGAAGCTTTATTTTAAGTTCACGTAATGTGGGCAGCATGACAGACGCAAGTTGGAACTAAACTCTACAAAAAAAGCTTTTAGACCTTCATGTGAGTGATGACATGAGCACATTTGTTTAAAGGCCGACAGTGCCATCTACCAACAAATACTTATCTGCCAAGTTTTAAAGTCAAGACATTAGTGGTTGACAAGCTTGTTATTAATGCCCTGTTGGTTAAATGATTAATTATTTTATATCATGGCTTGAATGACGTAGTGCCTTTTGTAGTACCTCAATAAAGTCACACATTATGCTCAGATTTACCAAGATAATAATGCTTGTGTTTATCTGCAATTTAACTAGGGCAAGAATCTTAACGTAAACTCCACTATTTCTCATCTAAGAGCCTTCTCAGTTTTGATGCTGTGAGTGACTATTATAAATTTAATCTGGGCCAGAAATATCTTATGTCTCCTTTTTGTCTAACGGGATTTCTCCTAAGAAATTTTGGAGAATCAACATTGAAGCAAAAAACTTCCTCAAGGGAAAGTGGTTCTTCTCTGGCCTGGCTCCAAAGAACCCTTTTAGGCCTTTATTAAGAGTGGAGGGGTATTCCAGGGCCAGGATGCAGAACCCATGCTCTAGGTCACAATCCAGAATCAGTTAAACAGGCAGAAACATATCAGAACCAGAAATAGAATGAACACAAACACAAACCAAGGTGGACAAATCCAACAACATCAGAAAACACTGCTTAGGATTGCAGCTACAACACAAACAAGACTTCCCACTGACTAAACAAAACCAAGGGCTATTTACAAAGACACTAACAAGCACAGGTGAACACAATGCATGGAATGCGAAGCCAGTTGGACAATAATGAAAACAGAATCCCAAGATGGTGATTTTGGGACAGCATTCCTCTGTGACTCTTTTCCTACATCTGGACGTTTACGTTTGGAAAAAGCCAAAGTTTGCCTTCACACTACAATGTTGGTTGCCAATAGTTAAACATAGAGGTAGACAGCACATGAGAGTCATCACTGTTTTGAAATGTTAGTCTCTTTTACAGGACCAGGTGCATCCTAAGGTGTGAACAATACCCTGATGATCCATGAGGATAATGATCTTATAAACAATGATTCATAAGAGTCTTTGTGAACACAATGAAAAAGCGGTACACTTTCCATGGCCGCCCCATTCACTAGATCTGAACATCTTTGGGAAGTTTGGGAACATAGATTGTGTAGTGAGTTTCAATTGTCTTTGTTTTTCAGAAAAAGGGAGGCTTTCTTCTAGTGTTCCACTGAATTATTTTTTTCCACATGCTCATGAGATTTGTTGGGGTAATGAAATATGCTCACCTTTTGACCTTTTAATCATAAAATGGTCTGCAGCTGCTTTTTCTCCATCACATTATATTCATAAGCTTGACAAACACTAAAGGCAGTTTTGGTTCCTTTCTAACTTTCAACAACAACAACAACAAACAGAAAGGATCAGAGCTGGCAAACGGTCTTTATTGTGTTGAAAGGCTATTGTTATGGAAGCACTGTGGCCTCCAATAAAAGCTTTTGTTGTGTAAATGCTCAGCTGGGGTCTTCAGTTACAGGTGGTCTTGGCAGATGCTAAAGAAGGGGTAATTCATTTCACCATGTTCTGTTTGAAGCATATTGCAATCTACAGTCTGACATACACTCTAAAAAGTAGGGGCCTAAATAGTTCTCATTCCTGACTTATAGTTCCTTTAATGGGTGTAGAACTTTTACATTATGTGGCAAAAAAAATCGAATTTACAAATGTAATTGATTGGCCAAGATATGTTTGATATTTTGCTTCTTAAGTTTTAAACTGGAGAATCTGATGTTGCAAACAAACACTAGAAGTGAATAGTCACCCAAATAATTTCTATTAACAAATCCCAAAAACCTCTATTTACCAGCTAAAACCGCATGGTTTAGGACACAGTGTGACTCACTGTGAATGATAAAAATGACCTAAAAAAAACCTCATCATGTAGCTGAATGCTCCAGGCATCCACTTTAGACAACAGGTGTTGTGCCAAATTCTGCAGAATCTGACTCCCCTCCCCTTCATGGACATGCACATCACACAGGATTGTGGACACTAGATTACACGTGTGATTTAAAATGTTTCTGTTTTTGAACATATATCTTCATTTCAAATTGAAATTGTGAATTTAATGTGCAGCCTGCATGTTGGATGGATTTTGGCACATCGCCTGTTGTCTAAGTGGCTGGTCACAGCATTTAGCTGCAGGATGAGGTTATGTTCAGTTTTATGGCTCAGAGTAAGTCATACTGTCATATTGAACACCTGGATGTGGTTTGAGTAAGTTGAGAAAAGTTTTAAGGATGTATTTATGGAAAAGATTTGGGTGACTATTGGGTGACTATTGACTATTGACATTAGCCTTGTAGTTCCAGCACTAGACTAAAAAAGCAAAAACTGTAAATGTGATTGTTACCTGAAACACTTCATTCTCAATCAGGTTAAACAGGTTGCTCACACCTGGACATCATTGAAATGTTCTTTAGCCAATTACATTTTTTTCTTCTATGGCATCACGCTGAAGAACTGATGTGAATGCATCATGTACTTCAAATACTTTTTGTATATCTAAACAAATATGTCATTGTTCCTAGTGAATTGCTTTCAGAACTTTGTAGGTAGATTGTAGGTAGATGCAAAACAGAGAGCATACAGGCTACAAAAGGCTATTAAAAAAGGCCCATGTCCTACATTTTTCTTGTACTGCATTGTTTTCCATACAGTCTACTTGACGTTTGTGGAGTTTTGTGTATCAAATACAGTCATTTTTACATTTTTACAGTTCTCCTTATCCTTTAGAATTAAACAGACTGCTTTTGTTTCTGTCCCTTTAAGACACATTTTCAGTCATACAGTCAACACATAATCTACAGAGAACAAACTTAATAAAAGCAATTTAAGCGCTCAATTTCTATTTATTTTAGATACTGGAAAAAAATAAAACATCATATTAAATGTTTTATAAATATTGTTTTTTTCCCCCCAATATGTTAAATTGTGCATTAAGGAGTGCAGAAGTGTGTCCTCTGTAGTGTGAAGTATGTGTAACTTTATTTTCACTTCAACAAAATGTAAATAAAATGAGCTTTTACATTGGCTGTCCTGTGTTGTACATTAGAATAACAGTCAGGTCTGAAACACTCCCCATAAGTTTAGTGTGAACGGGTGGGGTTAAACTGATCTAGGCTAAATAGGCAAATGCATGACATCACAAAAACAGTGAGGTTAACAGAGGTTGGTTTAAATTAAGAGGTACATTTGAATTAAGCAGTGTTTACATACTGTACCAAACTTTTCCATGACATGAGCTTTTGGAGAACCAGGATATATATTAGAGAAGTTGCATTGCTCTGAACATCTCCCTCTCTGTCCAGCTGTACCAGGGAAGTCTCAGCAGAAACGTCGCGGTAGAATGGTTGTGTCCATATGTTGAGGACTTCTCAGGTTTGATTGGCTGGCAGTCTTAGCCCATTGGTTACTTTAATGAAAGAAAAAAAAAGTACTTACATACACATGCTTTCTCTCCAACAGGGGCTGCCATGGACTAATTCAGTACCAGGCACTCAAATTACTGAGCCAGGAGAAGGCGGGGCGGGGGAGCAGGATACGGAGAGAGAGAGTGAGAGAGTAAGAAGGAAGGGAGAGGGAGTGGGGTGGGAAGGGTTGGAGGATGGGTGGAGAAGAGAGAGGGGGGAGGTGGTAAAGAACGCAGAAGAAGCAACAGCTTGAGATTTCGAGGCAGAGAGTGAAAAAGTAAGAGCAAGCCAACTCCTGAAAGAGAGAAAACAGAGTTAGTGACAGAGGAAAACCGAGAGGGACACGGAATGGGCTGGGCTGGAACACAGAGGCAGTAAAACATGTCTTAAAGTGAGAGAGCAGAGAGGAGAATAGGACAGGAATGTAGTCCTTTACAAAGAGCAAAGAGAGCGAGGAGAAGCAGAAAGACACATAAATAAAGAGGGAGCCGGGCAGCAGTAAGGAGGGAGGAAAGTAGCCACAAGAAATGGCAACAAAGGGAAAAGAGAGAGAAAAGAGTAGAAGTGACACAAAGAGAATAAATAAAGACGGAACAAAGACAAGAGAAGAGGATATGCTGACTTCGCCGGCGTCTGTGTGTACGTCTACGCGTTCATGAGAGTGTACATGTGTGTGTGTGTGAGGTATGAGGGTTCTGCTCCTAAGGCTGCTGGCCGTCCTCTCCCTCGCCTCTTTCTGCAGCGTGCTGCTCTGGCTCTTCCTCAGTAACAGGTGAGGCTGTGATCCTGTCTGTGCTTTCAGTGTTTGCTGTCAACTCCTCTTTCACATAACTCCAGAAATGCACACCGTGCCAATATGGGTCAGTCTGCAGAAGTGGTATAAACTGGGGGGTAGATAAGGGTTAGAAAATGTCTTATTTTCCCTGAAATAAATGATTTACTTTTGTGACGGGTAAAAATGTAAAAATTCACAAAGCGTACACTGAAAACTATTAATGTCATTTCAGAATTTTTGGTACTATCAGACTAAATTGTCTACATTTGTCAATACTGAAACATTGCAGAGCTTTTTTTCTCTTTGGTGACAGAGCCATAAAGAACCTCATTTGACTGTTTAGAAGGCATTAGGCAGTATTTTTTTCCAGCATCTGCTCATTGTCAATATATCTAATTCAGTGGGTCCCAACTGGGAACCTCAAGTCCCCCCAGATGATCCACGTTTTTGATCCAACTCGCAACACACAGAGATGAAGGAACAATATGAACACTGATCACTTTTTTGTTTGTTAGATATCAAATGTTAAAATCTTTGCCTGTACTTGTGTAGTCTTTTGTGCTCTTGGGCATATTTGCTTCTCCCTGAGGGCTATTTCTAGTGTGAAATGTCAAATTATGACATTTTCCTGTGTTACAGTGTGTGAAAAAAAAAAGAAGTCATGAACTGACATCTAACCGTCACTACTGAAACAAATATGTCGATACCAAACATACATATTTGTTTTGTTTGTGACTGTTTCTGTTGTAACAATCCAATTTTGTCTCTAATTGTGTAGAAACTAGCAGACCTCAATTTTATTGGTCACATATGTAGAGCTGAGGCCACATGTAGATTCAGTCTACCGAAATTACTTGTGTTCTTCGGTAGTGACACAGAATTTCAGCATATTTTCAGTTTTTAACCAATTACTATTATTATTTTTTGTTTTAAAGATTGGAGCAACATCTTTGTAGAGATTGAAAAGTTATATCACATGAAAATACTTTAAAAATTGGCCAGCTTAAGTGTTTTATTTTTCTGTGTAATTTCAGGGGTCAGGCTTGGGAGCATCCATTGCTTAGTACAGAAACACATTTTTCAAATATATCAAATAATTATTTTAAATAGATAGTTGAAACATGATGTGTAAAAAAGGGAAATTTTATCATTGATTTTATGATATTAAATCTATCTGTTGATTTTTTAAAGCAAAACTATGGAAAATGTATTTCAGTGTATTTAAATTGTGATGTTTAAACATAAAAAGTAAGTTAACCTGGCTGATTGAAAATGTACAGAAGTTGACAGAATTGTTTGTTTTCTTAACATACTATCAGAGTTTCAACTCAACTTTTTTTTGGATAAAAGTATAAAAGATGTTTATTCAAAGTGCAACTATAAGGTTTAACTATAGAATATTTCACCACTTTAGACCAATCAAAACAACTTCTGTGGCATTTTTCCTTTTCATACTTATTGTAGTTGTTGGACACGAATGGGTTAATTTATTGCAGCTTTGAATGCAAATGTGCATCTGTTTTCAGGACTTCATTGATTGCATGTACTTTTCTTGCCTTTGAAAAGTTTGTAGAGCTTTTATGGTTTGATTTTAAGCCTGAATGCAGGCACTGAGAAAAACAGCCACAGCCACATAGCTGTACATGAGAAAGTGCAGTGAGAGTAGTTCTACAGATACACTACACACTATCAGTAACTCTTACCAGCACTGATATGTACTTCATTGCCACGTGCTAAATGTGCTAAGAGGCTGGCTTCCATTTTTAGTATTTGAGTCATGTGAGAGCACAAGCAGTAGTAGATGATTCTGAACAGACACAGAGAATGCAAAAGGTTGAGAATGCACAAGGCTAAGACAAAAATGTTGTAAGACTGTCTGCTTCTAATACACATGATTTGCTGTTGAGAAGTGTGTCTATCACAGCTGGCATATGTATGCTTGTCAGTGCGGTTCTATTGTATTATTATGGGTAACACAGAATTAGCATGTACACTAAATTAGCTTTGGCATTGTCCTGGAAATACATGAATTTAAAGGAATCGTGTTCAAAGTCCGCAGTTACAACCTTTTTATGACTAGCAAACACATCATTACTGTATTTTTGACCCTGCCTGTGGTCAGAAGAGTTGAGCTTTTATAGTTAGCTTAGAAAAGAGTCACTAGAAGGCTCTAAGGAGGGGCTCACTAACCATATCATGGCTCTGTAGTTGGAGGCAGATATATTGTCACTGAATCATCAGGAAGAGCAAAGGCAACAGGAAAATACACTCTTTCAGTAGCAGAAAATTTGACCCACCTTCTGTTCTTCAACCTGGTTCTTTTTATTGTAACAAGAAATATCAAGCTAAATCATGTAAAACAAACAATACATAAAATACAGTGCTCAAAAGCAGTTTTGGGACACTTTAATTACTTGCTTATTAGGAAATATGTGATTTGTTAGTACATCATTTCAGCCTATCAGTTAATACTTTGAGTCTGAGCAGCAGAAAGCTAGAAAACATTCACCTAACTCCCAGTTTACTTCAGAACCATTCAATCCAAATGCATCTGACTCCAAATTTCTTTAATATTCTGAAAGATACAGAAAGTTAAATTAACCTGACAAAAAATATTGTAATTGGCAATAAAATGTCTGTGAGAAACATTACAGACACACTAAAATTCCAACATCAATAGTGCAGACTGTACTAAAAGGGTGGAAAAAGACAGGACGTGCTCAAGGCCTGCCACATTCAGGCCATCCAAAAGAGAACATCCAACAAGCCTGGCTGAGTATCAGTTGTGTAAACTTGCACTCAGTGCCTAGAAGACTTCAAGCTGTCATCCACAAAAGAAGGGATACACCACAAAATACTGACCTAGATAAAATACTAAATACTGACCTACATAAAGAAAAGAGACTCTAATGTTAGTCAAGCTAATGTTTGAGAACTTGCCATGCTTAAATATAAGTTAAAATAAGTTTCAGTTAGGAAATCCTAGTCATTATTGCTGGCTGTTACAACTTTTCTGAGAAATATGAATGAATAAATGATACATTTATCTTGGGAAGTAACAAATAAACAAGATATAAATTGTATTTAGAGAGTGTCGTACTTTTGAGCATTGTATATTTTCATATAAAACATTACATATAAAACTACATGCAGCATTAAATATCACAACAATTTCAAGTTTATATAGTAATTAAGAAATGTCCATTTCTGTGGTGATGTGTAATCTGCCCAAGCAGCGGACAGATATGGTGAAACTACGGCCAAAATTCTAGCAAATGACAATACAGTATATATTTGGAAATGGATAAAACAGTGACTAATTTAATAACATTCCTTTATTTTTTTTTTTAATTGAGCTGTACCCCTTGCTGTTAATATAGTTGTCAGATGGAGTTAATAGTCAGCCACTCCAACTGCTTTACTTGTGGCTTAACACTACTTGGATCTCTTTCTGTTTTCCACCCTAAGCACCTATTTCCTGAGCACTCACTCATCCTGAGTCCATTATGTCACTGCTTTTGAATGTTCTACTTGGTTTTAACACAAGCCTGCTAATAAATCATTCAAACGTTAGTCAATATGCTAATAAAGCTGCAAAGATAAATCTTTCTTTATATTGCAAAAGAATAGTGTCAATGAGTGCTTTTTACCTCTGAGTAAGGTTTGGAGAGGGCCTAAAAAATTGATCCATTCCTTTAATGGTAATATGGCTTAACAGCAAGATTAGACAATTGCAATAAATCACTGATGCACAGTCATCTTTCACAATAAGAGATGGCCGAGGTAGAAACATTTCTTTAATCCAGGCTGAAGTCTGACATGACAAAAATATCAGACAGTTTTTGCAATTGGTGACGTATGTAACAGATATATAGAACAGATATACACGCATATATATATATATATATATATATATATATATATATATACATTCTGGGCAAAAGGTAGGCCAAGCCGAAAATGGCTAAACATTAAGCTTTTAATGGTCTTAAGCAACTTCACCTTAAAATTCCAGGCTTATTACGTACCAAGGCTTATAATTCAGTAAATAGAGGGAGTTTAATGCAAACTGGTTGAGCTATTCTTAAGTTATACAAGTGTGTAATACAGATTTTGGGCCCTGGCCATGTAAGGAGTTAATATGGGATTACTTTTTCCCTTTGATATCTTTAAATACTGAAGTTTTGTGTGTAAATTTACAGACAAACTTTTACAGAAAGAAGAGTCCCACTTTCCACCCATTTTCCCACTCAGCATTAATGAATTCAAACGGTTGAAATGCATTGCTGATTTTGACTTTCCCCCTTTTTGCCCAGGAGTGTATATATATATATATATATATATATATATATATATATATATATATACACATATATGTATTTATGTGTGAACAAAGCTGTTGTCATAGATCCAATAACTTCAGCATATTTAAAGATATGTAAAAATATGTAAGTTGCGGTAAAAGAAAAATCTAAGCACATTGTTTAAAAAGCAGTTGATCCTGTGAGCTAGTTTGAAGAGCTTCATTTAACATAATGAAGCACCCATTAGCCAAACCAACTGTTGGATGATAACTACAAACACCACTAGGCCACTAGGAGACGTTTGACATTCATAAAAGCGCTCCTTATTATATTTGTGTTATTTGTATTTATTCTAATATTAGTGCTTTTCTGAGCAAATAAACAATTACTGTCCAGATAAAGAGCTTTTCATTTTAATTAGAAGTAAGAATAACTGGTGATGTTTTTCAGCTCAGAGAGGGTTGCAGCGAGTATAAGCAAAAGTCGTATTGGACGTACAGGAAATATTTGCATGGAACAGATAAGAGATTACATGTTTCTAGGTATAAGGATGAAGAAAGATGAACTAAACTAAGTTCCAGTTTCCTTCTCCAACAGTGTAGCAACAACAACACACATCATCATACCAGTCTGAATCGCACAAGATACATATCACAACACCCTTCCAAAATGTGCCAGGCTTGCTAGGATCTGCTCATGCCTCTGCTTTATCCCCTCTACCACTGCCAAGCATCTCATTTTCTGTAAGAAAGCAGTTTTTCTCTGGAACAGTAAGAGTGCAACAAGGCAGCCACTCTCTTTCCCTCTTCATACTATTGTTCCTGAGCCCATTTCTCAGTGTCAAATAGGAAGGATCTGGCAAGGTCAGGTGAAGGCCAGGGTGTGACCACTTGGTTCAAAACCTTCTTCATTGGTTTTAGATGACCTAAAGCAGCTTCCTTTCTTTGTGAGGTGGATGAGATAACCATGGGTAACACAAGGCCAGCTTCAGGAAACTACATACTTGAAAACTACCCTCATGTTGTGCATTGCAGCCTGGAAGTTGGCTGTGTGTACAAGCAGGTTATATAAATAGATTATGCATACTGAAAAAGGCATCCAGACCAGCACTTACTTCATCAACATCAGCAGCTTCTTGTTCAATCGTTGTGCACAACTCCAGTCCTACAGTTTGGCAGTTCCTCTACTCAGACACACCCTCTAAACCTGACAGATAAGTTAAATCAGGTATGTTTAACCCCTTACTTGGCCATGGCCTGCTGACAGGCCCAAAGCTTTGTTACACACGTCTTTAACCTGAGAATAGCTCAAACCAGTTTTCACTGAAGTCCCTGTAGTTACGGAATAATAAACCTTGGTATGTAATTAGCCTGGGCTTTAAAGGGATTAAGCAGCTAAATCACCAAACTGTGCTGGACACTAACCTTCCAGGACCTGAGTTGTTCACATCTGGTTTAGATGTATCAAACACAGTTTGTTCCCACCTTAATATCCATATATAAGCCAAATTCACTCATAGTTGTCCCCAGATGTGTATTCGTGTCACAAGATCACATCTGGCCCTGTGAGGCTAAGGTTTAAGTGGCAGTACACTCTCAAAAATAAAGGTATGAAACTGTCACTGGGGCAGTACCCCTCTTGTCACTGGAGTGGTACTCTCAAGGGTACATCTCAGTACCTTTAGTCAGGGAACATGATTGTACCATAATCTAAGTTGTATTGACTCCACACATTGAACAGTGACATTGCTGTGCTCCAGGAGCTGGGTAAGTACCATGGGCAGTTCTAGATGAACTCAAGCCCAGTTCTTCTCCTTTGATTCCAGTGGCACCAGTCGCTCTGCGGTCTTCTCCAGTGCCATCAGTGCTTCTGCTGTAGCTGCGTTGCTAAAGCGGTTCTCATGGAATTGCTGTGGAGGGCATAGCCTGGTTCTTAGGGCAGTTTCTGAATGTGCCTTTCAGATTCTTGTCTACAGCCAGGCATGGGACAGCTGGCTGAATCTTCACCACCACTGCTGCCAGACCACTGATCCCCTGAATACATTCTTAAAAACTATTGGCATACTGTTTGGTCCATCACCCATCCATCTCCAACTGAAGCAGGGCTGGGTAGATATAGCAATGATTGATTGGGTAAATTGCCATTGCTACTTACAGAGAGGAGTACCTGGTGCATCAGGCTGACTATAGAGCCAGTGTTAAAGAGTGCTTTGACAATCTCCTGCAAACACAGCTGCTTCCACTGGCCCTGAGGTCTTACTCTTCCTAATTCAGCAAGCAGTTCCTCTCTGTCCCTCAGCTACACTGACCAAATGAGTGAGCAAGGACACGCTCAGCTTGTCAGAGTGTCTTTCAGCAGTCATTCTTTTTGTTTTCTGCTTTTGTGTGAGTGTTAGTTATCTCCTACTTACTACTCAGTATCTCTTACTTTGGTCTTCAGTTCAGTTAAGTTCAAATAAATGCGAAAGTGTAGCAGGAGAGAGTTCTTAGACTAAGTGTGCAGCCTTTAGAGATATTAAAGAGGTGGAGCACAACTTGCATTTGTCATTTTTACTTGTTTTTCTGATATAAAATTTTACTCAAAAGAGGGATTGGTAAACCTTTAACTCTGAAAAATGTCTGGAACCCACAAGAATGATCTAGAATTCTTTAAAGGTCTAAAGGGTTAACTACAAGTGAACACATAATGCAGGATTGGGACTGGATTCAAGGTCCAGATTTGAAGACCTCTGCACTAATGTAATATTTTTGAGATATTTTTTTCAGTCACCGTTGCTTTTGATGGCCATGAATCTTTGTGCTAGACTGCTGAGTCACAGTATCTGTGTATAATCATATAATTATCTGATGTTGATGGTGCACACCTTGTCTAAAACCTGAGGCGTTGGCAGCTTAAGAAACATATTTTTGTATGATGTGTGTTTTAAAATGAAATGCATTTGTTGTGGAGAAACTTTACTTTCTGTTTTGTAAGCATTGGCCTGCTCTATCACAGCCATACCCTAAGGCCTGCGGACATTCCAGAATAATCGGAACAACAGTGTAAGCTTAAACAGCTTACAAAGCCAGGCTATGCCTCTCTGGGAGACCACAGGATAAAACCAAACGCATTTTTGTCTAATGATTTCTTATTAGATTTTTACATAAACAGAAATAGAGCTTTGCAAGAATATTTCCTTGTAGATATGATTAGTCTTGTTGGTAAATTTGACACAGTTAAAGTGCAAGAATAATCATTTCCTCAGAGAGATAACACAATTATTCTGGCTGAAGCATTTACTAAAAGCAGAAATTAACTTGTTTACAGCTTATTTTAGAAGATTTTAACAAGTTGCTGTGCTTTTTATAGCAAAACCTATACTTCTCTCTCTCTCTCTCTCTTTCTCTCTTTCTTTCTCTTTCTTGCTCCCTCCATAGTGATGCACGTCTTCAAGGTCCACGTTTCCCTAAAAAAGAACATGCAGACTCCATTAAGCCAGACTTCTGCAAGGCCTGCAGGTAAGAATGCTAAACCTTTTTTTATCTCACAACAAGGTGTGGGATACAGGAGGTCCTGGGGTGTCTGGAACCCCCTAATTAACCTCTAGGACCCTCTGAATTTCTCAAAATTAAAATTCTGGGGGGTGCTGAAAATAAACTTTTTATGATGTAATGCTGTCTGTTAAGGAAAAACAGATGCTCAAATACAAATTGCTACACCCACAGTTGGTGAGCTTCTGTCTTTGGTATTCTTAACTAACTAGAGATGCAGCACTGAATCCAACTGAAGCAAGATGCATACTATTCAGTGCTTTTAGTGAAACCCTACATGGCCCAAAGAATGTGGACACCCAAACGTCAAACATCGTCAATGATATGTGCTTGTTGGATGTCTCATTTCAACCATGGGCTTTAATATGGAGCTGCCTCTCCGTGTATCCATGTGTGACTTTGATGACTTTCAGATTGAAGCTACACAAACACCAAAGTCACTTATGACTGCTTTCTCATTGGACATGTATGTGTTTACATTTTCCAGGGAAAATGTCATCATTGACAAAGCCCTGCAAGTGTACTCTACCAGATGGAGAAGGCAAGAGGCGAATTTCAAAAAGTTCAGGTGAACAGAGACACACAAACATTATTGTTGATTATGTAAGACTACAAGTTGTGTATTTTAAAGCTAGGGTTGTACTGTTTACCACACTGCAAAACTTTGTCTCAGCTGTCCTTAACTTAAAAAGAACTTTTATACTTTGTAACCTGAAATTTAAGATAGAAAATACAGTTGATGAAAAAGTTTGGGCACCCCTGATCAAATATTTTGTTGATTTTCTAAGTGAAAATAAATTCACATCCTCTTCAGAGAACATAAAAAGAAAAAAAAAATCTGTCATAGTGCCGCTTCAACATACTTGGGAGGAAGTTTTAAGTTTGTTCGCTGTGGAGTATGTCGATAATACAGTATAACTTATTTTCACTTAGAAAATCAACAAAACATGTAATTTGGCCAGGGGTGATGATGATATAATTGTTTATTAAAAAAAGTCTAAATTCCAACTGAAGTCCAGATCCTTAACTGAGGAGTAATCTTATTGTTCTGGAGCCAAAACACAAGCTTAACAACACCCCCCACCTCTTAGGCGTACACATAAATACAGAGAGATGAACTCAAAGCAGCTATGTGTGAAACATTAACTAAGGTTTATTCCCAAATTTTCTTACCATATAAAATCTAATACATTGTCATTATCACAGTTTCATTTCTATGTTAGTTAATGAGGCAACAACACTTTCTCAATGTGTAGAAAACAGGTGACATTTTCAAAGGTGAAGGTTTCAAGTAAAGGTCTCTTTCAGGTCCTCGCTAAGCAGAAACTGCCATGCCTTATCTAAGGCTGTGGTCTCGCAGGCTAACACGCCTGTGGGGTCAAAACTCGTGTATGATGGAGAGAAGACAAAGCAACTGCAGGTGACATCAGCTCTGTTCAACACATTTGCCAAGGTATGGTGTGTGTATTAGTGTCAGCAGACTGTCTGTATTCTGTGTCTGCATATGTTTAGGAGCAGCCAAGGAAGTGCAACATGGGAGTGTCTGTGTTTATGTTGTATGTTTGTTTGTATGTTTAGGAGCAGCCATTTGGAAATGCAACATGGAACACATGTGCTGTGGTGGGCAATGGAGGGATCTTGGCTAATAGCAGCTGTGGAGAAAACATCAACTCAGCAGACTTTATCATCAGGTCTGAAGATGATCACAAAACAGTTTCATGAAATTTAGCCTGTATCTAAAGCTTATAAAAGGAAGTAAATAGTATAACACTGTGCTACCATTTCAGAGATACAGGATATTGTGTTACATCAGCAATATTTTGTATGTTTACATCATTTGAAAACATAAAACTTCCCCTTAAATTGCCTAAACATTGCATGATAATAAAAAAGTACATAGAATTTTGCAAATCATTTTCATCCAACAGCAATATGTGTGCAACACCACTGTAATAACATAACTAAATCTCTCAAATGATAAGATTATAGAAAAACTTCTTAATTTCCATGTACATTATAATATGTAAAAAAAGACATTATTTTAATTTTTCTATTTTAATCATTTCTATTTGTCCATTTGTCATAAAACGTAAAATGCACTGTAAAGGGCAGCTGGCAGATTTAAGTGATGTAAAAAACATAATCAAATTAAAAGCTTACAAGGATTATGTTATGATCTAAACCCCATGCATTAATTGAGATAGTAATAAGATAAATATATACGAAAATGATCATTTATCATTATAATTTCTATTGGGAAGTGCCTGCCCCAAACCCTAACCACTACATTTCAATGTGTGACCTTTGTTTTGATTTTTTTCCCAATTGTTTTTAAAATATATTTAATATTTTTTTTATTTTTTAAGTGAAGTTGAAAGATTTAGATTTATCATGAGTTTCACTTTTAAGTTAAAAAAAAACTTTATTCAAAAAATACTGTCCCAAGTTTTGACGTCACTACCAAAACACAAAGAGTTTTAGTCCATAGGCGGAGTCTTAATTTAGCCACACCCCTGCATTTTAGAGCAGGAAGTGAAGCTGCATCCTTGTCCTTCATGGACACATGGTGAGCAGTTAGATCCCATTGTTTTGTAAATGTAAATGTGTCCCAAAATCTGAAAATCAGTGCGTGACCTTAAGGACTGTCTCTACTAAAACACATATTTTCTGCAATTAAGTAAACATTTTTTGTGTTTTATGTGTGTGGTACTGTTAAAAGCAGTGTTTGTTAGTCATGTTCTGGCCAGCGTTTTGAATTCTGCTCAAAATTAGCTAAAACTGTCACTACAAAACAGTCACTACTAAATGTTCTGTAGTGTTATCATTGTTTTAGTAGTGACAAAATGGAATATTTAATCATTTATTTCAATAAAACAAACAAAATTAAGGTATAGAGTCATTCAAAGCAAAAGGATTTTAGTCTACAGTCAAAAAATCCAAAATGTGTCTTCAACTTTACTTTGAACCAGTTTGGTAGAATGAGCCATATAACTCAGTCTTGTATGTCCATTTTTGTTATTTTAATTTTTAACATTATTTTAACTTACCAGCTGCTGTTCATACTGTGTCACAATTTCACAACAAACGTACCCATAGAAATAGTGCAAAGCTGCTTAGAGTGAAATCTTGTTTCATTAACTTACATTAAAAATTAAGAAAGTTTTTTCCTTCTGCTGAAAGGTTAGTACAGATATAAGAGTTAGTATTTTGTAGAAGGATGTGTTAACTTATTTTCATTTAGAAAATCAACAAAACATGTCATTTGATCAGGGGCGCTAAAACGTTTTCGTACAACTGTACATTAGTGTTGAAAAAGTGTGGAATCACTATTTTTTCTAATATAAAACCAGTTTTGTTTCAGATACAGGTATAAAAGGGTCTAATATGATGCTATTCTTGTAGAGCTACATAGGTTTCAGTTAATTGTGTATTTGGATCAAAGCTGTGAAGTTGTGGCATCCGATAGAGCACGTACTGTAACTGGCCAAAAAAACAAAAAATCTACTGAAAAACTCTGAAATATGACTCACTATGTGTGTGTATTGTCTCTGTCTGTTCTCTCTCAGGTGTAATCTTCCTCCACTGGGGAACGGCTATGAGAAAGACGTAGGGAACCAGACCAGCCTGGTCACGGCCAACCCCAGCATCCTAATAGAGAAGTAAGTGCAAATGCCATGTAAACTTGGTTAAAATATTTTCATTCATTATTGTCAAAAAGAAATGTTCCATCTGTTTTAACCATTTCTGAACACTTTCTCAGTTATGGCTTATTGCATCTGAACACAGCAGGGTTCTCTTTAGTCCATTAACAACTAAAAGTTCTAGTGATTATATCTTGTGTTTATTACTGTAAACTGTAAATTTTAAATGTTAAACTTTTGATGGCTGGGAACAAGAACACTGATCTCGATAACAACAGACATCAAAGATTCAGGGAGGGGATCCAGAAAGCATGCTAAGCAAACAGAATCTTTTTGTAGCTACCCCCGATCTGTGATGCACAGATGTATAGACCGTCTAGATATAGGTAATGTGTGACTGCATGGATGTAGAATAATGCTAGAATAATACAGTTGTCTGCAAAAGTTTTGGCACCCCTAGTGTTATTGCATGTTTTTTAAGTGAAAATAAGTTAACACATCATCCACATTCAGATCAACAAAACAAGTAATTTTCAAATTTTAACATATTGGACAGAAGCATAAGAAATGAAGTGTGCCATAACATTTAGACAGGACACATTGTTTTCCAGTATGTTGCCAATAAACAGGAAATGTGCACAAACATTTGCCATTTTTGAGTTTGTCTCCTGCTGTTTCTATTTATATGCAGAGTTTAGCATATTGGAAAAAATAAAACTTTTTTGACACATTTTATGTCCAATGTTTTTTCCAATACGTTAAATTGGAAACCTATTTAAATATAATAAATAAAAAGTAATTATACATTACAATATGCAAAAGTGTGTTCTCTGTAGAGGACGTGTCAACTTTTTAGAAAAGCAACAAAACGTCATTTAACCAGGGGCACCCAAACATTTTCATTTGACTGTATATGTAAAGGATCTCTGCTCTGATTGGCTGATTGATATTGTACCTCATTCAAAAAAACAGCGTGATCTGAAAATACTCCTTGTTGGAGAGACTGCACTGATCTGATCTCAGCATTAAGCACATTTTTTATCATTCTTATCTTTCTGCGTCTCGTCAGGTTCGGGGGGCTGATGGAACGTCGTCGTCCGTTTGTTGAGAGCTTGCGTCCATATGGTAACTCCCTGCTTCTGCTGCCAGCCTTTTCCTATGGCCACAACACACCTGTGTCACTGCGAGCCTTTTACACGCTGGATGACTTCGGAGTCACTGGTACACATCCTGTCTTCCTCAACCCGGAGTACCTGAGCAGTCTGGCGCGTTTCTGGCGTGGGCAGGGCCTTCGCTCAGCACGCCTCAGCACGGGCCTCATTGTGGCCAGCCTGGCTCTGGAACTGTGCACAAATGTTCATTTATATGGCTTCTGGCCCTTCAGTCAGCACCCGCATAGCCACCAGCCAATCACCAATCACTACTATGATGACCGGCAGAGCAAAAAGAATGTGCACTCCATGCCGGCGGAGTTTGAGCACCTTCTCAGGCTTCATATGCAGGGTGTGATCCGGCTGCATCTGGGGGATTGTTCAACGACTCAGTTAAACCGCACATCAAACTGAACACACATAGTTTAGACTGTGCATACAAGACCTACTAACAACCTTGGTGAAGATGAGCAAAAAGGCTACAAAAAAGGGATATGGAGTTCTAAACAGGGAGTAAAATGCCTCTTGAGCAGAACTACAATACCCAGAGCAGGACCTGTGGGTCCAAGTCTGCTTTCCCATTGCTGAGAGAAACAGAGGCATGATGGGAGCTGAAGTCAGGATGGATTGACATGCATTGGGTAGTCCAGGGGTATCCAGTCTTATCCACAAATGTGGTTTTCATTACAAATCAGCAGGAGCACACCTGATTCTACTTTAGGAAACCTGTCTCAAACAGCTGAGCATGCAGGCTACTGCTTTGTTGGAATGAAAACGTAAGACTAGATAAGATTGGGTGCCCCTGAGCTAGCCAAACCAACCTACACTTTAGGTTCTGACACAAAAGGACTTTTTATTTTATTTTTTATGCTCAGAAGTGCTAGTCATTTGCCTGAGATTCTGATCAGTTACTTAAACAATATTTAAACAGTTTAAGTGGTGAAATTGTCTAGTTGTATGCTCTAGGATGGTTTCTAGGGCTCCTGAACCAGAACTAACACAATCAGTGGAGATTCTCTATTGAAAATCAGTTTTACTATTTGACTGGGAAATGGACAAAAATAATAAGCTGAAAGGGCTTAAGTCTAAGGAAGAGTTAAAAAAAATCAATCTACCTCTCAGGTCAACTGGCCCACTTTTTAAAGCATTTAACATTTGTATAATCAGGTATAATTAAAAATTCTCTATGAAAATCAGTTTTACTTCCTGACTAAGCTACATCTAGGAAATTGGCAAAAAAGCTAATAGGGGTTAAATCTAATAATTGAGCTACATCTCAGGTCAGCTGTTTAACCTAGGTATAATTAGAGAAGTTTAAAAAATCTATATAACGTGATATGCATATAGGGGCATCATAGTCTCTAATCACAGCTGTTCACACCTTGCATCAACATGTGTTTATAGTGATCTGATTATTTTCAAACTTCACTTAACTGGATGCTCTTGTGATCAGCTTACAAGCAGATCTGGAAGTGGTCCGAGTCGGATCGTGACCACATTTAACACAAATGTAAATGGAATTAGACTTGGGCAGTTAAACAATATGCACCGTTATCATGATAAATTATGTCATAATGTGTCTTTCTGAGCATATGTGAATATCATCATGACTTGTAGGACAATGAACAACTGCATGTTTTGTTACATAAGTACATAATTAGACCTCTTTAATAGTGTATATTGCAGTGCAATATGTGAAACATTAAAAATAAATCATTTGCTTTCAAACCTTTTGATAATACCTTGTGGCACTGCTGGTCCTTTTTGTCAGAAAATATAAACATTCTTACATTTTATGTATCATGACAGTTTCCTGGCGTCTCATGATATTATATTTTCCCATATCGCCCACCCCTAAATGGAATGCACACAGTTCCATAAGCTGCAGTGCGTCTACCTAGCACTAGCAGGTGGGATGATAAACAAGAAAAGGCAAGATGGAGGGTATGTGAGGCTGGAATAATCCTGAATCAAAGTGCCTTTTTGCACTCTGGGCTGATGGAAGCATCCAAGCCGAGCTTGTTGGTTCATATCATAACGAGGGAAAAAGTAAACGCAAGTATGTGTTAATGTGCTTTTTGCATAGGAAAGTAAAAACTTGGCCAAACTGGGCACACATTTTAATGAAAAGTGTAAATGGAATCCAGTCAAAATATATCCAGATATGATCCAGACATGAAACACATGTTAATGCAAGGTGTTTGACAAAAGCACTGCAACAACCAGCGTAATCTAGTAGAACCAGTATAATAGTAGGCACTACCTTTAATTCTGATCACACTGTGGAACTTCAGAGATCAGCTATGTTGCCTTTTGGTAGCACTTTACTGTAGGGCAGTGTTCATAAGACATCTACATAAGTCCTTCATGACAACTGATATAGACCTATGTAAACATCTCTAAACACGTATTAAAATAGCCGTAATTTGTCATAAAGGGTGCGTTTGCCAACTTTGATGTCAGGGTGATGTAACGTCTATATCATCCATCCATCCATCCATCCATCCATCCATCTAAACCGCTTATCCTTCTGGGTCGCGGTGGGGTGCTGGAGCCTATCCCAGCTGTCATTGGGCGGAAGGCAGGATACACCCTGGACAGGTAACATCTGTATCAGATGACTCTTTTTTCTGACATTAGTGTGTCATGACTATTTCTGGCATTAAATGACAGACATCATAGCTCAGTGTATGTCACAGTGGCATAATGCTGATAATATGATATAGCTTGGCTTGTCAGCCTGGTTGAAAAAAGTGAGCATTTTCTTTTCTGTAGGTATCATGTGGCCTTATAAACACTGCCCTGCAGTAAGGTTTTTTTTTAACTAGTGAGCATTCAGTGTTAGGGGAAAGGGAAGCGAAGCAGCTATGAAGTTATCATGGTGACTCTGATTAATGGTAAAAGAGACTTCCAAGAATCTCAGTTGTGCAGCTTGCTGAGCTCTTCTGAGATTCTGAGTTCTGAGTTTTGGGATAATTGTACTAAACTGGGATGCCCGTTTAAAAGGGCTATATTTTTATTTTTGCACTATTTTAGTGTTAATGAATGCTGTGCCATTTGCTGAACGTTAAAGAACTATAACCTAATGCACTTAAACTACATTAATCTTCAAGACAGCAGGACAGACTGACTTACATCAAATCAACAACTACACTCAGCTGCCATTTTTATCAGGTACACCTATCCATTATTGTGTTGCGCCATCTTTGACTTTCAGAACAGCAGGAATTTGTCTTGGAATAGATTCTGGAGGTGTTGTGTATTATTGCTATAATGTGGAAAGTTTGCATTGTCTAGCTGCTGCATATTAGATGGTTCTTGCTGTCTTTCCACCTCATCCCGAAGATGGTCAGTGTGGTTGAGATCGCAGAGGTTTGCAGGCCTCTGAAGCATGAAAACGTGGCTGTCATGTCCCTTCATATTTGGTGACGATACATGCCTTGTGACATGGTACATTCTTTTCTAGAAGTGTTCATCTTCTGGATAAACTGTATAGGGCATATATCCCTAAATGCCATATAGGGATAAACTTGGTCAGCCAACAGTGTTCACATATGCCAAGCATTCAGAGGCATTTCTGAACATGTGGCCACCCCAGTCACACTTTTTGTAAGAAACAAAAAGGAATTAACATTACATTTTAATCAGAACAAAAAGTGCATGTATATATAACATAAATCTATAATCAATAAAATAAAAATATAATAATTAAATACTACTTACTCACAGGGACCAGCTGGTGGCCTGTAGGCCCTAAGCAAGTTCTTATATTGCTTATAGCAAAGATACTGCCCCTTCAGATGCCATTCAGATGTTCTTTACATTGTTTTCACAAAGATTCTGACATTCACCAATGTTCTCTTATTTAGGATTTGTTCTTAGGTAATCAAGAACAAATTTAAGAAGAAACTATATAAAAGATATTGGTGAATGAGGCCCATTGTTGGTAAACCACAGATGAAAGCCATTTGGAAGATGGTAGGATACCTAGTGCCACCTATCATTCCATGACAGGCACCTAGGTCAATTGATTTGCCCACTCTAAAACTCAGATGGACACTAGCTGACAATCAAAACCCCTGACTCGTCGGAATGGAAAATTCATGTGAAGGTGTGGGGTGTAACTTCTACACTAGCAACTCTGTGTAAATCTTTCAGTAACTAGCGATTTGTTAAGTAGCTCAGCTCTCATTATTTAATTCCTAGAGTACTGTAATAATTACTGCAATACTTGATAACTGATCAGTTGAGTCAGGTGTGCTAAAGTAGTGTTGGAGCAGTCCTCAGGATCAGTTTGACAAATCAAAAGGAGCTTATTACTCAGTGTCTGGGCCCTCTTTGGCTGTGTAAAGTCAGAGACCACCTTTCATTTATATAATTTCCAGTCAAAATGACCATAAAGTACAAAGTTATTTCTGTTCAAGAGCTTTTTCTGAGTAGATACGCCATAAATAATCCATTTGCATTAGGAAACTGCAACTGAAAAGTCAGAGGAAAGTAAGGAGTTTCCAAAACTGTTCAAAAAATGACTAAAAGATACAGAGAAAGGGCTGACCAGCTTCTAACAACCGTGCAGACACAGTAAACCACCAAAACCATTAGATGAGCAGTACTTAAAGCTTTCATCTTTGAGAGAGAGGAGAAAATCAAGCTCTACTCTTACTTCAGATCTAAAAAAATCCGCAGGAGTTTCTGTCCAACCTTTCACTGTGAGAAGGCCAATGCCATGCATCTGAAGGGGTGTGTAGCTGTCAGGAAGCTCTTACTGAGAAAAGAAAAGGGACTGCTGGTGTTTGCAGAACACTGGACTGTCCACCCCAAATAACTGATTTACTGGGAATACTTGGATCAGGAGAAGCAGAAAAAGTAACTTTTAAGGCTGAACTTTCTTACTGTGGAAAAATGTCTCTGAAGATTTTCTGGAAAATCTGAAAGCATGTCTCTGAAAAATGCCAGCTGTAATAAAAGCAAAGAGTGAACACACTAAATACTGAATATGTTGACATTAAATTTATTTGTTGAGGCGTCTGTGTAATTTTCTGTTAAATATGTTTTCTGCCTTTTTTACTGACACTGAAAATGAATAACATACTCAATCGCTGTTTTGACTGGAAATTAAATGAAGTGTGGTTTCTGACTTTTGCACAGTGCTGCAGATGGAGCGTGAGAAAAGCCAGCATTGTACACAGTGAATGGGAACTACAGATTCTGATGGTAGTTGTGAGATGTGCTGAGTATAATACAGGTCATTGATATCATGTTTCATAGGTGAATGGGGCTATTTATTATGAAACCCTCTGGTGGGAATTCTGCAGCTAGTTTTAGAGCTCAACTGCTGTTTGTAGTGAATGCACTGTTCCTGAATATGACTGCGTATGGACACACACACACAGAGGCTGCAGAAGAAAGGAGTGGTTTACGCTGAAGAATGAATGTAATGCTCTTGGCTACTTTACCAACTAGAAATTTAATTACAGAAATGGCTCCCAGAACAGACAGCACTTTTTTCTCTTTAGTCAGCCTTTAACATGCCATCACTCTCACTGCTCTGCCAACAGTGCCATTTGTCACATCTCTGTAGTGCCAAGTTCTCCTCTGGTGCTGTTCTGCGCTAAGAAGACTCTGGTCTCAGGTACTGGGATTTACCTCTGCTACCTTGTAGAAAAATTATTTCAGAAAATATGATTTTTCAGCACAATGACTGGTCAGATAATATGCAAAAAATCAAGTATGTCCAATAGGAGGAAAAGTATGGGATATTCCTACTAGACAGTCCTTACTTTGGCACTTTGTCTAACTTAACTGTGAAGTCATGCCTTGTGAGATATTCCAGTGCATCCTAAACAGTACATCACCAATGTTCACATAAAAGGGTCACTCTTTAAAATAGTAACTTTACAGGAGAAGGCAAAACATTCTTAAAGGGCACATATGCAATCAGATTTTACTTGCATTTTTAAAGAAAAAGTCTGATGTAGCAGACATTGTTAACATTTCAAAACCTACGATTTCATACACACTATATATCAGCTGCAAATAACAGCCTGTTTTGAATTGACTGGTTTTGTGATGTCACAAAAACCAGCACATTTGCATATGCCTTTTAAGCTTACATATGTTTAGCCCCACCCATTCATGCTAAAGTTATAAGGAGTGAATTATGACTGGTACATAAAAGCACACAAATGTCAAAGTGTACCTCAGCAGGAAAAAATAACACATGAAACATAGAGGATATGGGCCCTTTAATTTGTAATGTGAGCTAATGTAAAGACATTTGATCCCAAGTCATTTGGGGGGCATTTCTGTTGGACCATCCGTCATGAAATTTTCACATAATGTAAAGGACAGCTGCTGTGTTATTTTTATTATTATTATTTTTTTGTAATGCAACAATATTCTACTATGTGTGCAAACCTGGGCTCCTTACAAAAGTATATGAGAGCAGTTTCTATTACAAATAAAGGGCCTTTTGGAAGCATTTGATGGAATCCAAATATTCTGACCATGTGAATGTGCCTCAACTTCAGCAGCTAAGCTCTCATTATCCTCCCAATCTCAGCATTATATAATCAGAGGCACAAGAAGCAAGCTTTTTGCTAACACTCTGGAAGGGACCTGTATCTGTAGGCCCTTTTCTCATTGCTCTTGTCTAAAATAAAACAGATCGCTCGCTTCTCCTTAAGACTTGGAAAGCGTCCTGTTGAACTGCACAAAGGGATAAAAGATCTGAGAGACAGGGAAGAAGATAGAACTATTATAAATGATTGTGTGTTCACAGACTTTATCTTATTATCAACCGCAACTACGTGACATTGTTTCCTCTACACTTTCAGAAATAAAGGTACAAATGTGTCCATGCAGTACCCTTCTTGTCATTACCTTTAGTCAGGGAGCATAATTGTACCATAATCCACTGAACTCATATATTCTAAGTTGTACTGACTCCACACACCCCGTCTCGTCTCCAGGCTTTCTATTTTATTGATCTGTTTTAAAGCATTAGGTTAGGAAAAGGTATAAATATGTACTTTTTCACTGGGAAAATCTCATTTAAGGTACACTATTGGATCTTAAAAACACTGTTGTACCTTTGAGGGAACATTTCCATTGTTTGTACCTTGATGAACATAGTATAGAAGGTGATGTTCTGTCCTGTTCTGTCCAACCCCAGTAGAAGAAAACAATGTGAAAGAAAATTAATTTTAATTTTTTTTTTTGGCACATTATATGTGCATGTATGTGTGAGAGAAAGAAAGACTTAATAGAAAGTTCTGGAAGTTCCAAAATACATTTTTATCACCTGCTTCAGTCCACTACTGCCACTTATCTACCACTTATCTCATGAACTAAGCAAACTAACGAGGTTAATTGGACAAGCTGAAACATAGAAGTGGTACGAACTAGAGCAGGAAGAGGAAGAGATACAGGTGAGCAAGCAAAAAAAAAGATGAACCGCCAACTCTGTCACTGCAGTTTTGGCAGAGAGTTTCTTCCAGTCTTAGCTCAGTCTAATGTGGTTTACGGGCATTCGCCATTTATTTAGCAACTATATTTTTAATATATTTTCAAAGCACTGAACACACATGCATTGAAGTTTTTTGTCACACAGTGCGATGGATTAGGCAAACGAACGCAAAAGATGATTATGAACAGCACACAAGGAACTGACATGTGCCTACAGGTCTAGCTGCTCAAAACAGGTCTTTGAGCAGCTAGACCTGTAAGCACACTGCTGTAGATCTGTAAGCTTAACAGAGAGGTGATCTGGGGAACGCTAGGGCTAGTTTAAAGGGAAACTGGTCTGGCCACTTCCAATTCTTCTGATCATGCCAAAAACATGACGGCAAAACACTAGACACAAGACACATTCGAGCGAGTCTGAATGAAGGTAGGTGAACTGGGCTAAAAATGTTCATTTAATAAATTGCTAGACAATCATGCTGAATATTCATTTTATTTTGGGGAGGTGGAAAGATGTGTTGCTTTAAAAAAATTACCAGTATTTTTCTAGTAAGCTTTAAACAATTTCCAGTAAGCTTTAGGCAGTAGGATGCTAACATTACTGTTGAGTGATTGGTTGGAGACCTGACCGGCTCATTGGGTGAATCAGGGCCTGATGTCTGTTAAAACGTGATGTTCATTGTGTTTTGTGCCAAAAAAGAAGCATCTTATTGGGTGGGACAGCACATTTAATGGACAAATAAATAAACAGACAAAAGACTTTTTGTAGAGAGAATGCAAAAGGTGATAGATAAACAGTCACTAACATACATAAGACTGAACTGAAAACTCTTCTTCATATTGAAATTGTAGTAATCTTTAATTAGCTTTTCCGCTATGTTGGATGAGTGACTAGAGAGAAGGCATCCTTGATATTGATTGGTCAGCTGTGGATGACGTACATCTTTTGTGGCTTTCAGCTCAAAAGTTGATTGTGCGCTGTGCAAACTAGAGGATGCTGTTCAGTTGCAGTATACATTAAAAACAACAATGAAGAGAAAATGCGCATTTGAGAGGATTTGAAAAGCCATCGTCTGAACATTCAAAGGGGGTCGTACTTACTGAGGTCATGGATGATGAATGTATGTCAGGACTGGAGTAGGACTTTAGACCAGGAGTTGCATGAAGCAGACCAGCCCACCCCAAACTGACAAAAGCTTTCATCTTATATGTGACAGTAAATATGCTACAAACTAATGCTAGCTAAGTAAGTTATGGTCAGCATTTCTCACTGGCCACCTGCTCGAATATGCCCTCATTCTCCATAAGTATCTTTTTCATTCTTCTTTTCTCAATGTTTTTTGCAGTTCTTGTCAACACTCCCCATCTTTACATGATTCAAGTATGAAAATGATTCACATATGAAAAAAGTGGTGAAATCTGTAGAGCACTGCCTATTGTGTCAGTACTGTTGCACTGAATTTGATGCGCTAATCAGCAGTTACACACTAGCGAGTTGAAACAAGTATGCTGTTCTATGTTAAGAAATCAAGTGCATTTATCTCAGTTCACAATTTACAAACTGCAAAAATGCTCAGTAGGTCCTAGAGGTGTGCTACCCAACCCAAGCTTGACAGGGTCATTTTTTGATGTACACTGGGCTTGGGTTGGGTTTGTTGGGGCTCTGGTCTGTTTTCTAATGAGTGAAATTTTTATTTTTTTTGTGTAGTAAATCTGTAAATCTTGTTGTAAATCTTGCATGCTTGCATGCCTTTTCACCACAGTTTATTGGAGGAGGGTGGATGCTGTTTTGTGCCAGGTATGATCAGCAATTCCATCATATATCCCAGCAAATCAAGTCCTCAGTGACAAATTAAAGCACTGAAAACCATATCTGCGATAATCTGTCTCTGCTAGTGTGCTGAAGATGAAGTAAGCTTTATATTCCAATGTTCTGTTCCACCAAATTTTGGATTAGAATAAGAAGCCAACTTCCGTCTTGTGTGTCTGCATGTCGGATTCAGGTCTCAAATTTAGCAGTATCATTCAGGCCTAATCGGTTTGGGCTTCAACTTTGCGGGTATGGGTCAAGTTTAAGCTTAAATTTCATACCTGTGCAAACCTCTTATAGGCCCTCATTATTTTGGACTCACAAGTGCCCTCTTGTGTCTGATCATCCTGAAAGAAATTACTGAGTGGCATTTTCCTCACTAGAAATTCTCTGGGGTACTCAACCTATCTAATACTAATCTATCTATCTATCTATCTATCTATCTATCTATCTATCTATCTGAAAAAGCTAAACAACAACACAAGCATGTATTAAGCTGTGAGAAGTAATTACTAAGCATCATAAACAATAACAGCTGATTATTTATTGCTAGTTAACTCATCTTACCATCTTATTTCCTACTTCATAATGTAGCTTACAGAGTAGCACTGCTAAAGGACCCAGTGCACATTCACTCACCTGTTTGCTGAGTGAATTAGCCAATCACATTAATTAAATCAGCATCATCAGACTCTTATAACTGACTGGTAACTA